TAAAGATGATTAAAGATAAATAGCTATTATGTAGTGTTTATTAAAATAGCTACTATTATTAGATATTTTAATAGTATATCTATTTATTTGTGATGTTTTGAAATAATACGTTTGTAAAAGTACACTTGTATATTTCTCATTACAATTACTTAGAATTATTTATCATCTTGAAGTGTACTGATTTAAGAATTTATTGATTTAATATTGTTTTTCTATTTACCTTATTAATTGAAATATTTTATCAAAATAGAACAGAGAATTTCCAAAATTTAATGTAACGTATTTGTTTTACCTAATTAAATAAATCGTTAAATAATAAACAACATTTTAATTTTATAACAAATGAGTCTTGATTTAAAAGATATTAATAAGATTCAATTCATTAGATATAGTTAAATATACCTACGTAATGAGTCAATTCCAATTATTGGAATTCGATAATTAATTCAGTTATAATTTTCTAAGATTTATCTTTACAATTAAAAAATAATAGAAAAAACTCGTTAATTTTTAATTGCTTTCACAATTAATAATATTATTACTTCGTAAATGAAATAAAATCATGCACTTGCTGATATGATAACAATCTCTGTTTAACTTTATGAACTATTTGATTCTCTTTTTCAATGTAATTATTCAAATTTCAGCACTTTCTAAAGTTGATTGTGACATAATTGTATTTAATATTTAGACGGTAATGAATAGTATTTGTTAAAATAAAACGTACTTTATTTTTTTCAAATAATAGATTTTACATCAATCATATCAATTATATCTATACACGATATATAAAAATTAATTTCGGTGCGGATACAAGCAAACATTTTCAAATACATAATACATTCTAGTACAATTTTATATAATAATAAATTATGGAAACTTATTAAAAAACGAATTCTTGGTGTTGAATTTATTCGATAAATCGATCAAAATAGTGAAAGGAATGTAATCAAAATAAAATTTATATATGTCAGGACAAAAGTCAATTCTATTTCAATGCAATAATAAATGGTATATTTTAATTTTATATTTTTGATTAATGGATTTATAGAAATAATTACTGCTGATTTTTACATGCTAGTTTAACAATATGTTCTTTATATAACAAGAAGACGTACAGGTATATATATATATATATATATATATATATATATATCTTATTTAATATATCCTAATAAAACAGAATTAGCAATTAATAATATATAATTAATAGAGATATTAGCTTATAGAATTTTTTAATTTACTCACTTCCGTTAGTGCTTGGTATTCGAATATGGTAAATAATGATTCTCAATATTATTATTTATATTAAACATCATATTTTTGTTAGTTTATAATAATATTTTCCTGTAAATTTTTACAATTAAAAATATTTTAATTGTATATTATAGGAATAGGAAGCAGGTTTGGCATATTCTTATTAAGAGTTAACTCACAAAGATGCTCAGATACGAATGATACATCGTTTCATTTTCGTGGGTTTCATCCTACTTTGCTGATTGCATTTTCATGAGCATACATGTGGGCGGAGATCGAGAGCAACTTGTTGAATGTTATAAGTAGCTCACTCTTGAACTCTTGAGAGACAAATTAAATCTTTTTCAAAGTGCGGCGGAAATTAAGCATTAATTTATTTGACTAAAATAGAATTTTATTTATCAAATATTACTTAAAGTAGAACAAAATAAAAATTTTGTTACCTATTATTTTATTACAGTCAGAATTTTTATTCTTTAAATAAACAATGTTATGCTATAAAATATGTAAAAATTGTTATTTGTAAAGCCATTATTTGTTTAGGATTGTGCTAAAAATGATTATTTATTTAAATCTGAAGAGATTATTAAATTGTGGTATATTAAAAATGAATTTTTTTTAAAGAGAACATTTATATAAAAACATACTATCATTATATAGAATAGTTAAAACTTTTTAAATTTTAAATTTGCAGCATATTACTTGTATTCTTGTATTAATAAGGGTGATCAAATCGGAATGTTCTATCAAGTATTATATAAAAATATTCTCAACTGTTATAAACGGAAAGTTGAAAAGTATGGTAACTTTTTTATAATAAGCATATTTCTCAATGTAATTTAAATAGAGTTTATTTATTAAATAAAGTTTGCCATACTTACTGAAATTAAAATAATTGCATATTAACTAAATCGTTAAAACAATACTACATTTCGCAAAAACATTTCATTTATAGCCGAATGTATAAAAGGAAACGGATTGTATTTCATAAAAAAGCTAACTTTTATTATATAAAATTAATTTTCTATCGAATGAAATAATCTTTTCACATTTTAAACTCAAATTCAAATTGAACTATTCTCTTAATTAGAACTTACGATCGATGACAATCTCCCCGTGCACGATCTACTGGGAAATATTAAATTCATATGACGTTTTGCTTAATTAAATTAAATTTCCCATCTTCCTCTTCTCACCCCATATTTCACGTACTGGCTTATTCGATTTCCTTTCAAACTTCACATTTTTCTCACTTACTTGAACTTGCAGCTTTATTTTCTTCCGCCGTCAATGTATACCTCAAAGAATACATCTCCATAAATATTCATTAGGTGAACTTGACTTGTCAGGTTTTTTGACGCGACCATGGGGCGGGGTGGTCATAGGGCAGGAGGGAGGCGCATGCGCTCAATATAAGGTTTAGTTGGTTCCAAAAGGGAGGAATACGTTTCAATGATATGTTATGTCGGTCTCGTTTCCCATGGTTACGTACACAAATGCAAGTGAAATTCGTAAAATGAGAAAGACTCAGTTATTGGGTTGGCTCACGTTTACTGAGCTTTGCTATTGGAAGATTCAAACACAGTTACTTTTTATGGTTTATGATTCTTTCTTACGATTTTTAATAGCATACAATATGATTGTATATAGAATTTTACATTACCGATAGTTCAAATCGTAGAATGACGATAATTTATCAAACCTTTCTATGCAATTTCAATGGTAACAACAGAGATTCTAATCTAGAAAATATTCAAATCCGATTGCTAAACTTTTTTAAGGTTAAAGAATGCTAATAGTGCTTATCGAAATTAATGGATAACCATCGATAACATTAATTCTCTCTTTATAGTTTATTCTCACATTATAAATGAAACGCAATAAAAATATTTATAATTAATTAATTTTCTCACGAGGTATAACACAGATGGCGTTATCAGTGCTCCCGCATGAATAACATACATTGTTAAAAGAAAACTCAAATTTTTTTTCCATTTGAATAAATTCATTTAAAGTTTACATAAAAGTTTATAATATAGATAATAATGACAGACAAAACTATTATTTTAGTATTTATATTTTATATCATACTTAAAATCGATATACCAATTTACATACCTATTCATTTATAATAAGTAAAAATTTTGATAATTTGTGTTAAATACAAATTAAAAAATTATTAATAAAGTTAAATTTGGAATTTATTGTTGAAATATAAGATTTAGTAATGAGTATTTTATAAAATTGTAAAATCTAATAAGTTTTATTTCTAAAATGTATTCTAACTATAATTGTATTTAAAAAAACATTTGAATAGTTTTATTCTTAAAAATAATTATAAAGGAAATGAATAAACTAATTAATGAGCTCTTAATAAAACTTCAAAAATATAAGGCTTTGTTTATTTATTGTCTTTTTGTCTTGGGTGTTCTTCTTGAATAGATCTTTTCTTTAAAAACTCTCGTACTAAAATTGTTTATAAATTAGTTAAATAGTTTCATTCAGTAAATTTTTTATCAATTAATGTAAATTGTAAAATATAAATTCATTATCAGGGCATTAAGTAATTTTAACCTATTATTGTGTAATTTATTTATAAAATATTTGATAAGAAATTCCTTACGGAAATGTAATCTGCATGTACATTAAATTCATCTAGACATTTCTGTAAAATTCTTGAAAAAATATTTCTATTTTTTTTATGTTCTTTCTCGTTACTTTATACAGACTTGATTTGCTGATAAATGTACATCTTATTACACATAATATTGTACATAATTTTGTAAAAATAATTCCTCGTATTTATAAATAGACAACGAATTTTAATTATCTTATTTTAATAGAATTTTAATGTACATATTTAATTCTTATTTATAGTGCCAAAAGTGAGATTCAGTTTTTTAAAGAATTTATATAAATTTGGGTATATTTTCGTCGAATAGAAGTAACAGAAACTTCATATTATAATATAATGATTCAATAATTTATTATTTATAATAAAGTTCTGTAAATAATGACATAATTTATCAAATTAAGAAGTTTTATTCTTTTAATGATAGTTTTCAAATTAGATAAACATTTATTTAGAAATTAACCATCGTTAATTATTTGTAATTGCATATTTATGACGTTTCAAAATATAGTCAATTAATAAATATACTAAATTAATAATCCAATTTCTTAGTCACTGGTATATGATGTAAGTTGTAATAACACTAAAATTGAACGGAATTTTTCGGTTTTTTTTGGCTGCGTCTTAAAAGAATGGACGTATATTATTTATTGCTCTTTTTGAAAGTTTTCATGACTTTATAACTAGATAGCCGAATTATCAACCTGACGGTAATGATATAAACACTCAATAAAATTTCACTTCAAGGCCTACACAATAAAACCGTGCTAGTCTTCTCTCGGTGACGTATTCATGGAACACAGATCCTATATATAAGGTGTATGTGTCTAAATTATGCTTGGAAACTGAAGATCTTCGTCAACTCGGAGTGAACTCATATATATATATATATATATGCTTTTCTCTTCACATATTGACGGGAAGTTTTGCTAGTTGTATGTTGTATATTTTTATACGACGCTTCAAATTTCTTAGACGAACTCTGATCCACTTAATCAAGTAGCGTAACTTAATGTATTTACGCCACTTCACTACTTAACAAAGTTTACGCTATTAGGTTTACATAAATTGTGTATTGATATCTGATACTGAATATTGCAATTTATCTAATTTTTGGTTGTACATTTTACTCTCTTAAATCCGATATACACAGCTTCATTTGTTAATCATGAATTCCTAATAGACGAATTTCTAAAAAAAAAAAAAAAAAAATTCTATAAAATAAATGTTTTATAAATCAGCATATCAATTTTCTTATATTCTTGTAATAAAATAGAGTTTATTGGAAGTATAGTTTGAATTGTTATGTGTAAAATTGATTTTTTATTTCAACAGAAGTTGGCTTTTTAATAAAAAATCTTACCGTAAAGCCAATTCCAACAGTTGCTGCAAAGTTGCTGTGTCGAAACTTTTTGATATCGAATTGTATGAGTAATGACGTTTTGCCAACTCCACTATCACCAAGAAGGATAGTCTGGAAAATGAAACAAAATATACTGCGGATCATGAATTTCAATACATATATATCCATATAAAGTTCATTATATTTCATATTCCTGATTTGATTTAGATTCGCATAAAAGAAATTAAATATTTATTAGTAATATAATTTCAAATCATAATTTCGTAAATCATAATTAACTAGATACTAATTTTTATATTTTTATAGTCTAAAAAGAACTAAGAATAATACAGTATTAATATTTAAACTACATAGCCTCAACTGATTCATGTAGTAGTATTATTTTTTTTACTTTCATAATATTATAAGAATATTTGCGATAAAAGTCGCGATAAAGAATATATGCGACTAATTTTATAGATCGGTAATCTAGAAGATGTGATAAAGACGCTACGAATCAAGAAACGAGGGAGTTTTGTTATTGCCATCGGAATCACATAGGAGTTACAACAGGAGCGGCATTGTACAATTCTCGCGATGGCGCTTCGATATTTTTACCTTGGAAGCCTTAGGCGCATGGAATCTTAGGCACAAATACTTATATTTCATCGTCAGTTTGATGGCGAAACCTCATGCCATGCCTGTGGTAAAAGGATGCGCAATCCTAAACGATCGGCAGGTGAAGTTCGCTTGGTGGAGCATAGTTTTAACGGAACTCTTATATTATCGTCTTAAGCACTCTATCCATTTTTCCGAGTTCGATTGTTGTAAACCTTTTATTAAAATTTTGTTTGATGAGATGTTGATATGATTGAAAATTTTAGCGGATAATTAAATTATTATTAAACGCTGTCTTTTATTTATTTATAAATATCTGATTATTACTGCGCATTCATAGAATTCCATTTAATGGTGAAAGGCATTAGAATATTTTTAAAAATAATAAGAGTTTCATTATAATAGATAATATGTTTCACTATATTAATCTGAATATCAAAACAAAACGAATCATAATTAAAATATATAATGATTATTTTATTATGCTCAAAATCATTATTATATTCTGATACAAATATAATATTTACACATTTTTTAATATCAAAGCTTAAATTATTCATTGTTTTATGATAATTAAAATCAGTTCTTTTAATTAATTCAGATTTTCTATCCATTCATAAAAATATATAAAAACCTAAATGTTCTGTACATATAAATTTTATATCTTATTAAAATATTAATAATAAGTCGCTTTTACTTCAATGTATTAATGTATTATTAAATAACTATTATAATGTGTAATGGCATTAAAGCATTTTTTCTTAATGTTGCAGAATGTTACGATTGTAATTTAATCATTTTTTTATTATTTGATATTCACTATCTAGTAGTCTCTAGATTTTAGTTAAAAATTAAAGAAGAAATAAAAACTGTAGACCAAAATTATATAATGAGAGATGTGTTTAAAAAAAAACCTATGACTTTCAAATTCAATTTTCAATTGATAGGAATTTTAAATAAAAATATAGATTAAATGCATATTAAAAATGTAATTCAGAAAAGCCAGTTTATCAGTTACTATTTATATAATATGTTTATTAACAATTATTTTCTTGTGAAATAGAGATTAATATTATTAAAGAATTTAAATTAAATTAATTTTTACAATTAACATATTCTTCTGTGGGACATTTTTATTCGGCATATATTTTATTGAATATCAATCATAATAACAAATATGTTAATAAAAATGGGTCTCTAGTGTACTGATTAATGGTTATCTCGAATATAAAAGAAATGCATAAATGAAATTTAAGTTGCAAATAATAATCATTATATTTAGAAAATTAGTCAGCTAATATTCAATAAGACATTTGATGCCATGAAAACGTAGATGCGATCTTCCCATACACGAGTTCAAAATAATAATCGCGGAGCATCCATGACATTACCGGCATGAATCTTTATGCACTGGTTCAGCAATATCGCGGAAGAGACATTGGATTTTCAAATTTATCGTGTGCATAACGTTTCTTTACGACAATCGGGAAGAGCGCACTATATACCGCCAATTAATTGAGGTTGGCGGTACCTGGAGAAAGTGCACGCTACGGACTACTTTCCTTCCCCACTGATTGCTATCTTTGCGAATCGCTCTCCCAAGAGCCTCATGATTTCCAATTCTGGAGATCGTCCCCTCTTACCGATTACGGAAATGCACCTCGAGTGTTTTATTTATTGCTATCTGTATTAGCATCTTTTATACTTTATTTTACCTCGGTGCAGCGTCGCGTACGTCAAAAATCTTGAAAAAACAAACCCGTTCACAATTTAGGTATGATTTATATAAGAAGAATACGAGACATTCGACTCTTTTTCTACGAGGCTGTTTCCTGTATTTGCTGACGATTTGTATTTCCATACTTCATTGATGTAGATCTATTTTTAATGAAGGTACCTTATTGTGCTGCATGCTTATAACGGCAGTTATTGTGTTTGGAGGTTATAACGGCTAGTCATTGTATTTGATGGTTGTAAATATTCCTAATAATGTTGACATGAATCATAATTACGATATTGAATTATTAACGTGAACATAAAAAATATAACAAACTTTCATGCTGTCATCCATTATTTTGCATTATTTTGCTGACAAAATACATCTACTATTTGCTTTATTTTTTATATGTACTTGTTTTGAATTTTACAGGGATTTCAGATTTCTTGTTATATACTATAAATAGTTACTGATTTTATAGTTACTCACGATCCCCTAAAGAATTCCAGATAGTAAAATCTTTTTATATTATAATTGTAAAAAATCTTAAGGCTTAATTCATTAAAGAGTACTAAAGTTATTCTTACCTTAAAATTATACTTATTTTTTAATTCATTTGCTTTTAATGAAATGCAAAAAGTTTGACTGAAAATATGAATCTTATTCCTTTTACCACTATATAGAAAATGATTTCATTTTTCTGATTCTGTAAAGAACATCATAATAATTCAATATAATTATTTATTTTTATTCGTGCAATAAAAATTTATTCTTACTTACATTTGTTAATTTCTAATCTAAATTCTAAATCATATGAATCTAATAATATAGTACAAATTTTAATAATTAATAAAACAATATTTTACACATAATATATGTTTAAATTCTATGAGCCAATTTTTTTATTCTTTTACTTGTTCTTATATTTTTTATAGTCCTTCATAAATGTTTGTTTTTATCGAATACGTTAAAAAAAATATTTTACAGCCTCAAAATCTCTGCACCAGTATTTTGATAAATCATTTACACTTATTTATTTAGTATTGTGAGTTCTTACTTAAGCAATGAGAAAAAAATTCTTAATTACTTTTAAATTAATTAAATATTTTTGGACTTCAAAGGATTTCAAACATAATATAAATAATAGCAATATTTTTAGCGTCAACTAATTTTCGTTTTAATTACGTTTATTAAATTAATCCAATAAATATATAAAAATACAATAATATATTAATAATGTGAATTACTAGAATAAAAATTGTAATATTTATCTTAAATTGACCCAGATTATAACATGTAACCGAAAGAAAATGCTATAAGGTATTCTAAATTAAATTATTTTTTCTTCTTAAAAGATATTTCTTTAATAGTTACTAAACTTTTAAAATAATAAATAATGTTTGAATATAAACTTTCTTAAAACTTATATATTTTTTAATTATTTTTAAAATTATAATAGTTCATAATACTATAACTATATATTAAAGAAAATTTTTTTTCGGTTTAACAAAATAATTTTAAGATGTTGAATTCTCTGCTTTTTGAAATATATTTTCAGGATTAATAATTAAAAACGTGCTTAGTAAAAAAAAGTAAATATAATTATATTAATATTAAATATTTAATTCGCATATTTTGTTTATTTATCCATATTTCTAAAATTAAATTGTATAATTTTATGCATTCAAAAGTACATTAATTTTTCTGTATATAATATTCCATACATTATTTTTTTCTCGAATACGATATTATGTATCTGCGATATTATGTATATTTATACATCCCTTGATGAAATTCAATAAATCCTGAAATATGAGCCTAATAAATTATTAACATGAATACAGTCGTGGCAGCTGTTAGCGATTCACAAATATAAAGATTATTCCAAAATATTGGCCCGATACATTGAGCAACCGCAACACTACATTATCGGTACCACTAATATCGTCTGAGATTCGTACGAGCTTACGCAATCTAGTATCGTATCTAAGTTCTTCGTAACAGAGCAACCGTATACACTAATCTTGTAGTCGATGACGCCCATAAGTAGTATGCTTTTTAAAACTGGTATATCCACGAGGCGGTCTGGAAAGATTTATCGGCTCGGAGTCCCTGGGACTTTTTCATTTTCTTTTCGTACTTCGCGACATATTTGAAAACGCGGCGGCAATGGCGGTTAAACTAGGAACTGGACGATTCATCGTATGGATGTGGTTGCTGAAATACGTAAGTCTCTGATTCGCGCAAAGAGGATTGCCGCAAATTATCGATAGAATTCTTGAATCTTGCGCAGAAATTTGATATTTAATGGCTTTCTTTAAACATTTTAAATATATGTACATGTTATATATTTAGAATATTATCAACTATTAGGGCGAAATTAATAAAACAAAAACAAAAATTTCAAATAATATTACAATTATAACTACATACACCATTTACACATAAATGTAGGAATTGTTAAATTCAAGTCTTAAATGGATTAAAATGATATTAAAATTATATGTATATATATTAATATTAAATATAAATAAATATAAATTAAATTTATATTTATTTCTTTTCCTCGATAACAGGATATATAGAGGTATCATGATGTTTCGTACACGTTCGTCTTAAGAAAACGTTTGAACTTTTCTGTGCATATGTCGAGGAATGATATTTCAATGCAAACAGTGCACTCGCATAACCAAAATAACTAAAAGAGAATCTGCAACTTACAATGAAATGCTTGTCTTCAAACTACGATCTCATATAACTAGCTTTATAGAATGAATTTGAATACTTTTCATCTTTT